TATGAATTAATTTTCTAGACGAGTGAATAATTTCCTAAATTTTGAGTGAGAAAAAATACATTTTCCTAGAATTTTCTAAGAAACCAGGACATTTTCTCGATATTCTAGAATTTAAAATTGATATCTGAGTCAAAACGTGTGAAGAAAATCAAATTTATGCCATTCTAAAAAAAAAAGAAAATGGAACGAATTAAAATTGATGAGTTCATCAAACCGGATGATGAATAAAAATCCTAGAAGGAAGAATCAATCAATTTTGCACATGATAAACATGAGAAAATTGACAATTATAACCCAAAGAAAAATTTGTGAGTTTGAAGAATTTGAAAATACCGCGTGTTTTCAGCGACTGACTTCACGCGACTCATTACCCAATCAGAATTGAGAATTAGCGGCCGGGCAGTTTCGATAGATTTCGATACAAAACAACTTCACAAAACTCTCGTAATTTACAGACAGAGATTTTCTGTTATTTTGATTTTTGTAATCACTTTCAGGCTGCAATGTTGTCATTGTTCGGTAGAATTCCCTTTGCGTATCGACAAACTGCATGTGCGTACATGTTTATTTGACTTCACGCTCAGGCCCCGGTTATACAACTCGTTGGAGGTCTCTCTGGCGAGAGCACGCCCGCAGCGACAACAGACTGTGCACCGTCATAAACATTTATTATACATCGTGGTGTGCAGTGAAATATTTTACAGCTGACTTACCATCATGCTCACCGCGTGCAATATCGGCTTCTGTTTATTTTTAACTACTTGAGATTGTTCTGATTTTAAATCATTGCGCGGGGCTTTAATGGTGATTATGTATTTCATTACGAGGATTTGTTCTATTACGCATTAACTTTTTTTCATTTTCCCACGCAATTCAATTGGATAAAATGATGCGGTTCAATCGAACGAAACTCTTTAGTTGAAATTTTTTTATCCATTTCAGTGAAGATGTTTTAATTATAGGAAATGGATAATTCATTCCTTCGAAATGAAGGATTGTTACATGTCTTTGTTGTCTGAGCAATGATTTCATTTGTCAATAATGAAGTTTTTATTTGGAATAAAGGAGAAAAAGAAAAAAAGAGAAAAAAAATCATGAAATTTCGGATTTACGTGAATTTTTAAGATAGTTGATAATTTTAACTGAATAATTGAACTACAATTTACAGTTTCCATTAATTTCTTCACAAAAAATCGTGAATTTTCAATTATGGAAATCTGTGAAATTTCAGTAGAACTTCAATGAGAAAAATTTCAAGAATCCTGTGATACTTCACTTTAATAACAATGATTTTGGATTTTAGATTTTGAGAATTACTTGAATATTCAAGAAATTAACCTCGGAGAAAAATATATTTGAATTGAGTATAAAATATACTTGATTCAAGTGTATTTATTCTTGATTTGAGTATGAAATAGGGGAGGTTGGGGTAAACTGCACACTTTTGACTTTTTTAAAAATATTAGTGACCGGTTGAAATGTTAATGAAAATTAATAAAAAAAAATTTCAATACAAAGAACAATTCTTTCCCTTTGTGATGAGTCTAAACTGAGCTCTATTGTTACATTTATTCCTCAGTTATGAATAACTTTAAAAAGTCTAGTGTCCATTTTACCCTACCCTCCCCTATACTAGAATCAACAACAAGACACTTGAATCAAGTATATTTTATGCTCAATTCAAGTATATTTTTTCCGTGACTGATTCGTCAATGAAGAATTTTACAGAAATTCCAACTTTGTCGTTAAAAATTTCAAGTTTTTTCACTTGAAACCAGCTTTTCCATAATCCATAAATGCTCCACAAATACCCCTAACATTATAATCCCATCATTCACAAAACCCACACCAAGCGCGTGGTAATCACTCCGACGAGCCTAGTTGGGGGCCTGTTAATTGGATCGACAAACCGGAAAATCTCGAGACCGAATGACCAACATATAGCGGTCTTCCTTTGATAAAGTCTCGAATAACCCGAAGGATCTTTTCATCCGATAAACGGGAGACCTCCGACGTGAAACGCCCCCCCCCCCCTCCCCCTCCTCCTCCTCCTCCCGTCCCCCTGAGTACCAGCATATGAAAATTCCGCGTCTAAGTGAAGTTGACTAATTAAAACGCCCGACGTACCGCGACGTAAAAAAAGCATTGGGGATAAAAGATATCGGCTTCCGTGTTGTCAGTAGTCGGCAAAGGGATAATAGCGATAAATAATGCCAAAGGGACTGTCCCTTATCTATTCAGGGGGACAGATAGTGACTGTTTGTGAAGTTATTTCCATTGAATTCTCCGGGGCTAGCCTCCCACATCGACATATACTCGGGGTTTCCTTTGTCTCCTATTCCTCTACGGTGAGAGAGTCGGCATATAAATTTTTGCACGAGACAACGCCCATACCAGTTATTTCAATCAACTCACCACCGAGTTTTTGCGGATTATCATATACATTAGTACTTATTTATGTTTCAATGCTTTATGAAGGAAGAAAATGTTATTTATGATTTACTTGATGGGTTCTCGGAGCGATCGGGCTCTTTTATTTTGATCAATTGTATCGTAATCAGGGGGGCATGGGATCGGGGCGCTGGTGGATTATAATATCGGTGGATGGTATTTGCATGGAAATGCGATGGGATGGAGTGATACTTTGTTTTGTGGAGGGTGTGGGGAATTTTAATCATCGGAGGGGCCAAAAAAATTTTTACATCTGAAGGACCAAATGATTTTTCAGCTCAAATCAAACTTTCTCTTCCGAAATTTTCTATTCACTTCAATGAAAAAGTTCTAACTATATGAAATAAATAGTCAATTCAATGGGTTAATTCTTTTCGTTGTCTAACCAATGATTTAATTTCTAAAGAAAACTCCGTTTAAATTCCGAAAACATTTCTTTATCCAAAAATCTATTGATGTAATGTTCACAAAACCCCAAACAAAAATCAAGTTTTCATAAATCACAATAACGAAGACTGACACCAACAGAAAACCAATTCAGTAGCGAAGCGGTAAACCGGGTCAAGTCGATTTTGACTATTGACCAGTTTTTGACGAATATCTCGGAATCTAAGAGAGATTGAAAAAAAAATTTCATGACCTTTTTTATAACCCTCAATTGGCTCTACAAAAAAGGTCGTGACAAAAAATTTTCTATCTCTTTTAGATTCCGAGATAATCGTCAAAAACTGGCCAATAGTCAAAATCGACTTATCCCGGTTTACCGCTTCGCTGCAAAATTTATAATACTTGAAAAACCATCGCTGAGGCCATGAAAATCCAGCGATTAGGCGTATCCCATATAAAGACGAAAATAAAGAAGCCTATTTGCGGATAGCTAGCTGTTCTCTTTCAGCATGAACTCGCGAACATGAGGTAAATTCACGATAAAAACCGCACTCGCCTCGTATATACCACTTGGTTCGTGCATAATGGAAATTTTCAATGTTTTTGCGTAGCCGCCGCCAGGTAGCTATCACCCAGAGTAGTACTTTATTGCCAAGTGAATCGTGATTGATACGTGGACGCCATGTAGCTCCTGGTTACCTACGCATCTACGTCTTGTATATCAGACAAACATATGCGTGTCGATTTTCTTCCTGGTTTGAACACTGTGATGCACCACTACCCGACATGGCAATCCCTCCAGTTAGTCATTCGCCACTAAAAATTGCACAAAACAATCGGAGAACAGAGGACAAAAGTGAATGTATATTCATGGAGTTTGTCTCGCTGTTCTCTTCACTCGAAACAGCTGACTTTGTCTGGATTTAATTGAATAAGAGTGGAGAGTGGAGTTTTAACAACTTCCAATCTTCATAAACCATCGTATTGGAGGTTTATGATAGCTATTACCGAGAAATTCAGGTGCTTTTTGATTGGGAACATTGATTAGGGCTGGATTTTAATGCTAGCAATGAAACGAAGATTGAGGCTGAAGGATTCAATTGGAGATGTTGCCCATTTGCTATACAAACTATGAAATTACACAGCAATTTCTGGTTTTTAGGCTTTATGCCACTCAAGAAATGAATGGTCGTAACGCGAAATTGTTACTCAATTGCCGAAGAAATATTTCTGACATGTTCTAAAAATCTACCTACTTCAAGTGAGAAATGCATTTAAAGTAACAACATTTGCTTTTTCAAACTGCGAGCATTCACATTCATAATAAAAGGAAGGTTGAGGTTGAAGCATTCAACTGGAGATGATGCCCCGTTTACATTACAAACTCACAAATTACTCTGTAATTTTTAGCTTTTATAACGAAGTTATTAAGTTCGAGGAATGAATGGTTGTAACGTAAAATTGTTACTCAGTTGCAGAGAGGGATTTGTGAAAGATTATAATAAGAACATTTTCTTTTTCGAACTTAGAACATTCTCATTCGTGATAAAAGGAAGGTGGAGGTTGAAGCATTCAATTGGTGCTGATGTTGCCTGTTTACTTTACAAAGGGAGAAATTACAAATCCTTAATTTCGTAATTTCTAATCCTTAAAACAAAGTTTTGGTAAATAAGAACATCCACTTTTTTGATTGAAAACATGTCCTCAACAGATCAGTAACAAAGAGTTATGAATTGGATTAAAGTAGAATAAGAAATGTCAGAAATATAAAAGAAAAATACTTGAAACATGAGTAGATTAATTTTGGAACCAGAAAAACATCAATTGAAAAGTGAGAATGTTTTCAATTTAAGAATCAAATGTCCAGAACTCAAAAACTAAGATTTTCTCAAATCATCATCATCTTCTGAGTGAATGGTACAATTTGGACAACTCAACTCTCATTTTGACGCCTTGAAAAGTAGATAGATTTAAATAAATTAATCCTAGGTTCCAGCAAAAAGTACTGTCCTTGCAAGCGTTTGTTCTCTCGTAAAATAGCAATCACAGCAAAAGCTATTGAGACACTCTCCGCATCACAATACCGGATTAAATACTATCTTTATTCCTTCAAATGATTGATTTCCTCCAGAAATTTTAATGAATTTCCAATTTTGTTTCAGCTGCACATCAAAATACGTTGGAGAATACTGCCAGCACTTGAATCCTTGTCACAAAGGGCCCCGGTGTCAAAACGGTGGCTCCTGCCTAGTGAAAGAAGACCAATGGGGTGGTACACCATCATTCACCTGTGTCTGTCCAGTCGGTTACAGTGCATCCCTATGTGAAATACCAATAGCAAACGCCTGTGACTCATTACCCTGTCAAAATGGTGCAACCTGCCTATTAAAATCCCTGTTCGAGTACACCTGCACATGTGCAACTGGATTTACCGGTGAGTACAATCAGATCAATGATGCCCAATCAGCCATATTATTCTAGGCAATCGAGATATCCCAAGCTGACTCATGCCAATGAATTGTGTCTCGAGACCTTGCTGCTTGGGTTTGAAAAAGAATAAATAATGAGGTATGAAAATGTGAATGATGGCAATCAGTGTAAAAAAAGGATATGTAATAATCGACGACCTTATTCATTGGCCGGCATTTGCGTAGGCTAATTCAAGGTAAAAACAGCAAAGGAGATTACGCGATCGGTTTGCAAAAGTTCCGTTATTACAAATGCAACTCTCTCATTTGTATAATTATCCGTCCAATATATGCTGAGTCCTATCACAGAGTCAACGAGGTGTGACTGTAGCTCGGTCGGAAAAATTGTTCAAGATATTTTATTGGAAATGATATTGCGTGAGAAACTCAAATTACATTTTTCAAGGAATTCATTGTTCTAACAAGCACTGCTCTTGGAATAGAAAAATGTTACTCATTTTGCAGAAGAAGAACTTCTCAAGTTTTGGGTTAAACATCTGCTTATTCAAGTGATGATTGTTCGAAAAAAAAGATTAGCTTTTGTAAAATGAGAATAAAATCAAATGTCATCTTAGAGCCTGGAAAAATACAGATGCAACTCTCTCATTTTTATAATTATCCATCCAATATATGCTGAGTCCTATCACAGAGTCAACGAGGTGTGACTGTAGCTCGGTCGGAAAAATTGTTCAAGATATTTTATTGGAAATGATATTGCGTGAGAAACTCAAATTACATTTTTCAAGGAATTCATTGTTCTAACAAGCACTGCTCTTGGAATAGAAAAATGTTACTCATTTTGCAGAAGAAGAACTTCTCAAGTTTTGGGTTAAACATCTGCTTATTCAAGTGATGATTGTTCGAAAAAAAAGATTAGCTTTTGTAAAATGAGAATAAAATCAAATGTCATCTTAGAGCCTGGAAAAATACAGATGCAACTCTCTCATTTTTATAATTATCCATCCAATATATGCTGAGTCCTATCACAGAGTCAACGAGGTGTGACTGTAGCTCGGTCGGAAAAATTGTTCAAGATATTTTATTGGAAATGATATTGCGTGAGAAACTCAAATTACATTTTTCAAGGAATTCATTGTTCTAACAAGCACTGCTCTTGGAATAGAAAAATGTTACTCATTTTGCAGAAGAAGAACTTCTCAAGTTTTGGGTTAAACATCTGCTTATTCAAGTGATGATTGTTCGAAAAAAAAGATTAGCTTTTGTAAAATGAGAATAAAATCAAATGTCATCTTAGAGCCTGGAAAAATACAGATGCAACTCTCTCATTTTTATAATTATCCATCCAATATATGCTAAGTCCTATCAGAGTCAACGAGGTGTGGCCGTATCTTGCTCGAAAAAATTGTTCAAGACATTTTATTGAAAATGCTATTGCGTGAGAAACTCAAATGCTAGAGCTTTTGCATTTTTCAAGGAATTCATTCTTCTAACAAGCACTCTTCTTGAAATAGAAAAATGATGTTCATTTTGCACAAGAAGAATTTCTCAAATTTTGGGTTAAACATCTGCTTTTTCAAGTGATGAGTGCTCATAAAAAAAAAGATTAGCTTTTGTAAAATGACAACAAAATCAAATGTCATCGTAAAGCCTGGAAAAATACAGGCGCAACTCCCTCATTTCTATAATTATCCGTCCAATATATGCAAATCCTATCGCAGAGTCAACGAGGTGTGACCATATCTCGGTCAGAAAAATGGCTCCAGCCATTTTATTAGAAATAGTATTGCGTGAGAACCTCAAACGCCAGAGCTTTTACAATTTTTCATCTCAAGAACTCTTAATAACACCGTATTCGAAGGCTTTCTGTACATGACTGGCACGCGTTCTTGACGAATAAATCTAGGCACAATGTTTCCTCTCTTGTGGTTGGATATAATTGCTGAGCAATGCGGCGGATCCTTTGGACTGAGGAGAGAATGCAGTGGCTTAGGCTCTTCGTAATTAGTTCCACTAATCAGGGGGTTGCATGGAACATTGTTTGACGAAAAAATTGATGAATGGGAGGGGGGGAAAAAAACAAGACAATTACATAGGTATTCTTGAAATTTCAGGTGAACACTGCGAGAGACAGGATCATTGTGCCTCCTCGCCATGCAGAAATGTTGCGGAATGTCAGTCGCTTGATGATACTTATAGATGTACTTGTGCACCTGGTTTCACTGGGCCAAATTGTGGTGATGATATTAATGAGTGCGAACGGGATCCTTGTGTTCACGGTAGCTGTCATAATACTCATGGATCTTACAAGTAAGTTTATCAATTTATGTATTCATTGCTTTTGTCCCGATGCGAAGGAACTAATGACACGAAACTAGACCAAATCCCTTCGATTTAGACTTAAACTTGAACACTCAACTTCAGAAATTGTCTTTTCTGCGTCAGAAGATGATGGGATGACTCAAAATAAGAGATGCGTTAACCCTTCTCACTGAATACAGCAATCATGCTGAAGAAAGCTTCCTTTTCCAAAGTATGATGGTTTAACATTACCTGAGAATAACAAATTATGCCCCCAGTGTAGTCTAGTTTTTCCCAAAATCTTTGCAAAGAACACTTCTTTCTCCAAAGTATGACGGTTTAACATTATGTGAGAATAATAGGTTATGCCTCCTGTGTAGTCCAGTTTTTTTTCTCGAAAATCTTTGCATAAAACATTGGAGTTTCTTTTCACACACTACCCATTACATTTATAGCTCATCGTTCAGTTTCAAAGTCGTTAACTAAGATATTGAAGGACATTCCCTTCCGCATGCTGAGGTCCTTGTGACCGAATATGGGTTCGATTAGATTTACAACCTATAGTTATTTTACTTTAGTCCATCCCCTCTCCCCCGCCTTTTTTACTCCTCGTCTTCTTGTTTGCGACTATTCTTTTTGTTCGGAATGATTACCTAAACCGTACGTTCCGGGGGCATGTCCGCGTCTTCACGATCGCCACAGATGATAGACTCAGTCTGCAGTAATAGTCCGGTCTTATACGGTTTTCCCCCGTAGATGAAGGCTCTTACAAGTGTAGAAAGGGGGCCCAGGACGGCTTCGCATTGAGAAGTTGGAGAAAGGCGGAGTTGTTTTTCTTTTTTTTTTATTTTTCCCCTCGGTTTACTGCGGGAGTGTCGTCTTGATTTTACCGAGACCAATTACCAATTGATCACGGGGGGAGAAGTGGACGCATGGAACGCCAATGACAAAATCCAATTTGACGGAGAGATGGGACATCACACGGTTCATTATAAATTGTAGGTAATTCAATGGTAAAGGGGACATGTTTGTCAGCAACAATGGAGAGAGTAGTCCCTATTGATTTGAATCACGACTGAGTTTTCTTTGTTTTATTAATTTCGAGGCTTGTTTAGGATGAGAAAATTCTCATTATTGAGTGAGGTAATGAGGTGGTGAGAGTAATAGGGATATTTTTCATAATTTTTTTTTTTAACGAAGAGATTAATTTGAGACTTTCGAAGATCTCATTTTGAGGCTTTCATAGGCTCATGTTGATGTATTATAAAAATCCAAATCGACTTCTGGTGATGAAAATTTGGGGGTCGAGAATAGGACTCTAGAATTAAGGGTCAGATTAAGGGTTACGAGGGCCAGATTAAGGGTCGTGAAGGTCAAAATAAGGGTCATGGGGGTCATATGGGTTTCTCTCTATATTATCAAAATCCTAATCTGGTGAGGGAAATTTGATACTCGGAATTAAGACTCCAAACGTAAGGGTCAGAAATGAAGGGTCGAAAGCCAAATGTCATAAATGAAGGGTCAGAAGCCAAGGGACATGAAGGAAGGGCCATCAGGGTCAAAATAAAGGTCATGGAGATCATATGGGGGTTGGCGAGCGGAGCGAGCAGGGGGCGAGCCCCCTAGTGACTGTATTAAATTTAATTCATTTGAATGAAGAAGAAGAGGCTTCTCACAAGTAACTGACATGGCAGCGCACGTTCCGTCTAGTGAAAAAAAATAATAATCGTGAAAGGATAATTTTCAAATAATTTTCATTACCGTAAAATAAACCAATTCGCAGAGTTTACCTTCGAATTTAGACATAATTTGACGGAAGAAAAACAATCGAGAAAATATCCCTGCTGAAGAAAGTCGTTGACTCATAATTCTGAAGTCCTTAAAATGTCAAGTGGGAATTGTATTCTCAGTTCTGTTAAAAAGTGAAAATGAGATTGAAAGGGCTCGCTAATGGCTGCCATTCCACTAATTGAATACTCCACATATATATTTTTTCCGAGGGAAATAAAATGCATGAGCGGCACTTACACGACTTAATAGCTGATATTATCCAGATAATGAATGTAAGAAGGAGAAATGTCGTCAACCCAATAATTCTTTTCGAAATTTTCCCCGAGTTAATTTCCCCCTCCGCCCCTCAACCCCGGGAATTGATGCCATTCCGTTGGATCATCAATTCCTCGGATGAGGGGAACCTACAACATACCGCAGGCTTAATAGAGACTTCGATGTGGCATACTTGGTGTCGGTCTCCAGGTGGACGCGCTACCATATTATTAAATAGTTATAGGTTGAGATCAACGAGCGACCTCAGCTCGACAGCCATTGAGACCTCCACTTGGTTTTACTTCGGTCTTGATAGGTTACACGCTGGATCATGGCATGCATCCTGACCAATTGCACTCACGTGGCTGCCAATGAGGCGCCCGGGAAGCTATTCTCAATAGTGCTCCCACGAATACACGGTACATGTGTCGCGAAATGAGAGTCGCACATTTCCTTGTCGAATTAAACTCTTCTCTCATTTATTTGTTTTTTTCCTGAGGATGTCCAAGTGTCTTTTACAGTTTGATTCAACCATTTTCAATCATCAAATTTGGGAAGTAAATTGCGTGAGAAAAATTTTAATCAAGTCATTAATTTTTGGCGTCACTCAAGTTATATTTTGCACAGAATTATTGTTTTTTTAAATTGTTTAAACTTTTGGAAACCTTATCTTTTAGGAATGAATGATTTTCATTGTGGAAAATTGATTGGTTATGAATTATTTGTAGAGAAGGCTCGTAATTTTCAAAAATTGCGCTTTTTGAATTACTTCAAAATGTCCGTCCAAAAGTGTATTTTCTATTTTTTTTCTATTTTTAGAATTTTTTCTGACGTTTAAATAATAAAAACATTGTAAAATGTCCGAACTTGGGGTGAAATGGGGTGAAAAATAAAAAAGTATTTCACTGGTGAAAAAACAGCCAAAGTACTTGGATATCCTTAAAAAATTTAGAAATGAAGTGGATAATGAGAACTAGTTTTGGAAATACGTGAGGAGAATTCTGGGGGAATTGTTTCTCGGGAATTTAAGTGGAATATTTTGCATTTTAAACGGATTTTTTTGAAAGTTGAAGGGTGAAAAATGGAGCGAGAAGATTTAAAAACTCGATTTTTATGTAGCAAGTCACACACTCTAAAATCATTTTAATGACTTCATTTGTATTTAGAGGACATACCGGGGGTTAAGACAGTTTATTATTGTTCAGTGGTTATGAAACAATGTGGAGAGGAAATTTGCATGTGAATGGGCGGCTTTCAAAAGGTTTATTCAGCGTGGAGTAGGTATTTTTGGTTGAGCCATTACAAAATTATTTTCTTTGATATATGATGATTATCTTTAGTATATGATAATTTCAAGAAGAAACTGCAATTTTCTTGCCGAAAACTGTGTTATTGGCAAAACTAAATAATTTCGAGGGGACAATTTTTTTTGGGAAAAAAATATTCTTTCCTCGTCAATGTATTCTTTCTATGGTATAAACCTGTGGAGTTCTCTCAGATCAAATGATTGTCGTACAATAGATTATATTTTTTCCTGCCAACAGTTGGAATTCTTCTAGGGATATTTCTGATGATCACGACAAAAGTTTAATTTTTGTGAAAGATGTTAAATTTCCTTCTGCCAAGTTGGTTAATTTGCCTCAAGTAAATCTGTTCCACTGGACTTTAATTTCAATTCAATTTCGGAATTAAAATCAACAAATTAAATCATCGATATTTTTTTATGAATAAATTCGTGCGACGTCAGGATTATTTAATACAAAAAAAAAGTTCCATTGTAAAATTTCCTTCTTAAGTTAGTTAATTTCCCCCAAGTAAATCTGCCCCACTCCATCAAATATTCTCACGTGGAGCCGTGACGAGGCGTTTTGCAATTGATTCTCCGCAAATTAATATCAACACACGACAATAGCATCGAATCGCCCGATGCCCCAGCGAATGAGACACGTGAAATAATGAGTGCAGATAGCCAAGGATAATCCAGCGCGCGTGGGTAATCGATGATCGTGGTCTAATTATCGAAAGGGCGTGTCGACGTACCGTCTATCAATAATCGACTTGGCGCGCACACGGCCGTCAATACTGGAACGATTCTATCACCTCTTTCCTCACCGCTAACGTCCATCCCACACCGATTTCATGTGCTAAAGGTGACTCACGCCAGTGGAATTACACACCGCACTGATTAATTCTTAATCCCCCTTGGACGGAATCACCGATACAGTGTTGATGTTGGATGTAATGAGTTGCAGCGATTTATACCCCCAATCTCGGGGTATGTGAAAGCGTCGGGTGTTGTCTCGTATTAGAATACGTCCTTCGTGGGAATGAGTAATAATTTCATTCACCTTGTTTCGAAATTTATGGGGGTTGGGTTATTTATGGGACGATCATGTCGGGTACTGTTGTTTTTAATTTTCATAAATTTTCTTCGAGATGAGTTTCGCTATTTTCTGGATTCTACTGACATTTCAAACAATTCTGACGATAATGCGAGAACGGCTGAGTGAAATTTTATGATCTTTTTTCATTTTCAAGGTATTTTTTCAAGCTTTAAAATGAGTCTTAATTTATTCAAATCGAATCGTTTGGACGTGAGATATTGACGATTGAATTCTATCAATTTATAAAATTTCGGAAAAATTTCACATTTCATCAACAATTTTCCATGAAAATCCTATGTTTTACGGAAAATATGTGTCTATTTATAAATAATCTTCACTAAACACACGAAAAAATCTCACTTCCATCCCCGGAACTAGTTCACACTGTGAAAAATAGGAAATAGCGAGTGAAATGCAAATAAAATGTCCAACATTTACGTTAATAACTGGAGAACGACAGAGTAAAATTCCCCTTTTCTTTCATTTCCAAAGTATTGTTTCAAGCTTTAAAATGAGCCTTAACTTATTAAAATCGGATCGTTTGAACGTGAGATATTGACGATTGAATTCTAGCTATTT